TTTGAAAGACCGAAAGCTTGTTTTCTGGCAAACAGAGTTGGAACTTGATGTGGCACGTCGATCCAAACTTGTGGATGTTGGGGCTGATGATAAGGGTCTTGAGGTGGATGGTAATGAAATGAAAGAGATAAAGAATGTGTTGATAGAGGTACAAGATGGACTGGTGAAGATGAATAAAACTATGGAAGAAGGTTTTCAAAAGATAAGCAGTATGTTTGGTGGGTATGAAACAAGGCTCAAGGCTGTGGAATCGTTTGTGAACTCTCAGGGATGGAATGATAGGGGTGATTTTGATTTTGATAAGCTGTATCGCCCTCGATCTAGTTTTTGGACTCATGGTGATTGCTTTAGTGGTGGACAGAAGCAAAAGGAAGCAAATGGAGGGGAGAATGATCCATTAGAGAAGGATCCGAAGACTGGACTACAGAAGGAGCTGGAGAGTGGAGTGGAGAAGGAGGCAGAGGCAGAAGCTATCGAGAAGGAGCCAGAGGTAGAGGAAGCCGAGAAGGATCCGGAAAGTGGAGTAGATAAGGAGGCAGAAGTTGAGAAGGGGGAGGAAAGTGAAGTGGAGAAGGAGGCAGAGGCAGAAAAACATAATGAAGTTGTTGGTGAGAAGAGGATTAAGAAGCCATCAGCAGCAATGAGGACTCCCCACAGGGCCCCGAACTCAGCAAAGAGGAGCAAGAAGAATTGAAGAACTGACACTCATCCTCTTGTCTTGAACTCCATTTATTATATTTTGGTTTTTTCATGCAATTTGGTTTAAGGACTCCCTACTAGTACTTTTTATGGCAAACTGTAAACGTATCTTTGTTTCCAAACTGGATTTTGTGTTTGTGCTACTGGTACTTTTAGGTAAAACTGTGAACGGATGTTTGTACTATTGGTACTTTTAGGTAAAACTGTAAACGGATGTTTGTACTACTGGTAATTTTAGGTAAAACTGTGAACGGATGTGTATGTTTGATTCGAAATGGATTAGATCAATAATTGGAGACAAAATTAGTCCAATAAAAATAAGTACAATAGAAGAACCAAACAAGTTTAACAAAACAATCCAAAGAAGTTTAACAAAACAATCCAAAACATACAAGTACAATAAAACCAAACAAGAGATCCCCAAACAAGTACTTGTTCAACATAGCAATCCAAAACAAACAAGTAGAATAAAACAGTTTTCAAGTAGAACCAAACAAGTACTCTTTCAGCTCTTCAAATCCGTTTCCAAATTTGTCACCTTTGCTTGAAGATTGAAAGCCATCTCCTTTAGGTCATTGATTTCCTTGTCACTTCTTACAACTTTGGTTACCATCTCAATGAGTTTGTGGTTATGTTCCTTGTAAAGATTGACCATCTCCTGAAGCTTCTTCTTCTCTTCTTCAACAGTGGTGAGCAATTCAACTAGGCGACCTTCTATTTCTCCCAATTTGGTTTTCGTCAAAATAATCTCCTCCAAGATTGCGTCATCCAACAATTTGTAAATGTGGCAATCTCCATCGTAAGCTCCAATTAATTAGATATGTAACAAACATTTAGCAAAATGATAAAAATAAGTGTATCACCGCACGAATATAAGTTCCTTACACGAATATCACCAACACAAGAGTAGAATTTGGTCCCAGTCAATAACACAATTGTTTGAGTCTTAAGCACAGCTGGTTTTCCACAGTAACATATGCTCAAAATGCCAATAGGTGAGGGCTCCCATGTCACCGGAGTCAGAGGAGTTATATCTGCCATATAATCATATTGGGGCATTTCGAGTTCATCATCCGAATCTGATGAGTTGCTGTTGTTGGACCCAGTATCGAACTCGCCGTATATGAGGCTATCATGGTTCCAACGACCCACGTTTCTAGAATGAATCGATTTATACAATAGATCGAGGATTTAATCATAAAACTAAAACCCAACAAATAGACTGATGAAACGCGAAATGGAAAGTTACCGTAATCGGAAATGGAAACTATCGAATCTCCGTCACCGGAATCGCCATCGCCGTCGCCAAAATGGAACCCTAGATTTTGGGGGAATTCAGTTTACGGTAACAAAACAACCGAACATGTACTTCCCTTTATTTAATATTTGAAAATTAAAAAAAAACAAGAATATACACATAAATGGATCTAATCCAATCAGAGAATGCCACCTAATTAAGTCATGTGTGCCGTTATTAGGAAACGTGCGCAGTCATTTAATACATAGTTTTACTCCAGTTTTTTAGTTGTGCATATTTGTTAATAGTTGTACTTTTGGTGATTTAGCTAATATTTAGTTTTACCATACTATGGAAAACAATTTTTAAGTTGTACAACTT